ATAAGCATCAAACTCATTAATATTCCATTTTAGCAAATATGTTCCGAATTGGAATTATGTCAGGAACGGATGAATCGATTAGAAACAGCATGTAACTACCTGAGCTGTAACTTAGCATCACTTCACAATCGTTCCTCCACTCAACCACCACCCATTGATTTCACTTCTGAACTTGCTTTATATTCCAATGCACTAATACAGCTGAAAACTAGGTTTTACTCTTCATTTTGATCTTGATCCTTTCATGAAATTTTGAATTTGAATTTGCATTTGAAATTAAATTTGGATTAATATTTGAAAATAGGAAAATGTAATGATCATTTAGTGGGAATATTTTGCAGAAACTTCTTAAATACCGCACAAAGTAGCGCAATTTAGTGGCGTAATTTAAAACTGGCATTGTCATGAAATAAATTATAATTTGTTATACGAATTACTTTTATACGAATTGCTTTAGTAAATTGTTATTTTGCAGATTTGAAAAGGAAATGGGTCATGCAAGAAGTGCTGATAAAGCAACATTGGTACATAGCAGAAAGCGAGTGCATTTAAAAAATGATGCAAAAACGATGACACAATTGAAAGAGGACAATTGCGCAAGCGCCATTTATAGTAATTGGTCCATTAAGGTGTTGTTTATTGTTGCAATAATTGCAGCATTTACAGCCTGGTTTGCTACATCATCACTTGTACCCTGGCGAACAACTTTAGGACCACATTTGGATTACGTTGATGGTCCACCACCTCTATAAACATTCATTTTTTTTTTTTCGATTTTAAATTAAATTGCTAATAATAGGAAAAAGTATATTTTTAGAAAACTGAATGTATGATTATCACCAATTAGTGCTACCAATTAGTTTTAGAGAAAATGAAATATTATCACTTTAATATTCTATCTTCTATCAAATTCGATTATTTAATTAACAGGAACCAAATTTAAAGTATTCGAAATGAATAATTGATAATTAGTGTAATTTTTTATTTAAAAAAAAATCATTGTTGATATTATTAACTTCTTTCATTTTTCATTTAATCGTATGTATGTTTTAAATTAATCATTGTTATTATTCATTCATATATGCAAAGGTGCCATCATAGTGCCTATTAGAATGCAATTTATCGTTTACAGCTTTCAAATGTTAAATTTGCAGGCCAAATAATATATTATCGAAATATTGCTAACATCGCTTCCTTTCTACCTTTTTGTAAATAACCTCATCGATAATACACATGCTAAATTGATGATTATCACTACTACAATTTTTATTATCATCATTTAAAATTTTGTTATTAATATCGATCGCTCAGCGTATTGATAGATTATAATAAAGCCATAAAATTTGATTATTTTATTTAGGTTAATTTTAAAGATTATTGTAATTATTCTATTCAAATACTGCCAAGCGATCTCCTAATGTAATTGCATTTTTTTTATTCACTATCTACCTTTTTT